TACAGCTTGGCTTTAGTTCAGATGTGCATCTTTCAAAAATGTGCTAGCTCCACTTGGTCATTTTCACTTCCTCGACTTGAGAAGTAAGTTGTAAAAAGAAAGAGCGGATAACTTGTTTTACATTTTATATATTTGGTAATTCATTCATTGCACTTTCAGAAGGTGGAAATTGTATAGTCTGGCAAAATTCTGTTTCCTTATTTTAATAGGTGCTAGAGATAGTGTGCTTTAGACAAATTCAGGCTGATTTTTGGAGCTGAAGGGAGCAGTCATTTTAGTTGTCACTGTGCTAAGATCATTTACAATTTCCAAAAGCACAATATCCAAAGAAATGTCGGCCACATTACGTGAAAGTAGCATAGAGGTATACCAACATTCTGTCCACTGTGCATGTTTTAAATGCAAACAACTTCACATTACATACGCCACTCTCCCAAATGTACATACACTAACTATGTCTCATTAAGTTTTGTGATGGACTGATACCATTTGCTTATTAGTTAGACGACTTTCTTTCCTATTTATGCCCATCAAATCGAAACATATCATAATTAATAGTTCCGGTTCAGTACCCACGTATGTAGTCCCAGTCTATTTTTAGAACATTTTTTTTTCTGTCTCCTTTTAATAGTTATACAAGAGTTAGATTTAGGCGTTTTTGGTATGGTATTAAAGGTCATTGTTTATTCGTTAGAATATGAGCTTATGGCGTGGAAGTCTGTGTTTCACAAGACGCGTATAGACTGACATTATTAAATAAAGCGTAGTTTAAAACAAATAAAAATTGCGTTGTGCACTGAGAGGTATTTAAAATATTTGAAAACACAAAAGAGCAACATTCCCGGAAGTATAATTAAAGTAATATATGCAAGGACGAAGCACAATGGGTATTTTTGGATTTGGTTAATAATACTCTGACACGAATTGGAGGAATTTATGAATGAAAGAATGAATGGAGCGGTTAATAATACTCTGACACGAATTGGAGGAATTTATGAATGAAAGAGTGAATGGGATTGATTCGAACTGAAGAAAATGTATATACCATGCAACAATTTATTTAAACAATGTTGCATACCTGTAAAGGATGGTCGCAGCAGCTAATCACGATGATTATACCGTGACTTGAATGAAATAATGCGCTAAAGTAACAATACAGATTTAATAGTGGAACGTCCATTAATCTAATCGAATCACGAAACCGCTCCTCAGCTAGAGCGTATTTGGATAAGGTGACAGTGTGTGCGTCGGTATGCTGAAGGTGCAACGGAGATTTTACGCACAAATTTGTCGTCACATCAGATTTCCTCATGTGAAGAAACATAAAAAAAAAACAGAGTACACCGGTACATATTTTCTGATAGCTATAATAAATCAATGATATATCAAATTATAATTATGCCATTTACCTGACTAACCAAGTTTGAAGCCCACGGTTAAAAAGACAAATGCACCCACGCCCTAAATTTAGCACATGGTATTCTCGTGCCCAAAGGTCATTTCTGACACAAAGTTATAATAAATTAAAAAAAATACAGTACAATATAGGATAATTTCGAAAAAAATTGTGTACTAAACAGCGTGATGCAGTTTAAAATAGTTGACACCCAGGCCATTTTTTAAAAAATATTTTGCTATCCTTGAACGAACGTATCTACTGTTATGGAAGGTTAGCTCTGCTTCGTAGTCGAATATTGGTAACTCAATGTCTACATACTATGAAGTAGAACTATGGAAGGTGTACCTGTCTCATATCAATTTCAAGAACAATCCATGTCCCAAACACATGACTGATAAAAGCATATATCTAATTAATAAATAATAATGTAATAAATTTGGTGTATGCGTCATTAACATATAGTACTCCATGTCAATTACCTGTTGGATTTTTGTAATTATTTGTTTGATTATGGGAAGTCGGTGTTGAAGAAATATTCCTCAGCCTGAGTAATTAGCCAATTGCAAGAGGCAAACGTCAAAGAATACAATGTTCATGAGATTATTGCATGATGGCATGGTTTAATTTTCTAGCAAGGTCAAGTCAGAGCGTCATAAGTGGTTCTTAGCCAAGTAGTTTTAATTAAAAGCTAATTGTGTTGATTGATTGTGTATCTCCATTTTCTTTATTTGTGATAGAGGCTGATAATTTGCTCCATGGAATAATAAAAAGAGATTTCTTCATTATCTGGAAACGTCTTTAATTGTTATTATGATGGTAAATTTGGTGTGGAGTTACTGGTGAAATGCCTCGTGAGTCGGTGGTTCTTTCCGGTAATTTCGCAGCGTTTCCTCGACCATTAAAACTGGCCGCCATGTATAGCCTATTGTGTGCTGAAAGATGGCGTTAAACCCCACAACAACAACAACAACAACAACAACAACAACAACAGGTGAAATGAGGGTTATAATCACCATTATACTTACCTGTTGATAGCCTAGGAAAAATAATTCCCCGTATTTGGTATTTATGCGAAGTTGTGATATTTGTGGTCATGCATTGGTTAGAGGAATATTATTTATAGTCTGGCAGTGTTTGAATTTCCAGTCGACAACAATTTTTTTTGAGAAGTCTTTGGAAATAAGGGAGAAACAAATGACTTCTAGCAGGATTCACGCCAGGGTTGGATTCGCTAGGTAAAGAGACCCCTTTGGTTATTACAACAATATCTGAACAAAAATTGTATCATGGTATGTATGAAAATAAATTAAGTATGCCTATGTTATTAAGAGATTTTATCCAATACTGGCTACGATGATGTTTTTCACTTGTTGATTGAAAGGAATTTCTTCCTCTAATTGTTAAGGGATGATTTTCCCCCTCAGGCATCTCCTTGCGATGGCTGTGTTATTTCGCATCGCTAGGGACGCAGAAACAGGTCAACTGTGAGAAAGGTGAATTTTCGTGAAGTCTGGTGGATTAGGACTGTAAAGAAAAGGCGAACCATCGTCATGAAATTCAACGGAAAACTGTTCCCTTAAGGCGTTGCTCTGTGTAATTCTAAAAAAGAAGAACCATAACTAGCTTTAAAAAAAGTCATCGTTTCGAGTGATTGACTTAATTTATGCTTCATTGTTAAGACAAATTACGTTAATTTAAATTACTTGGCCGGGGTTTTTTTTGGAATTTTACGAAACGTAATATAATATCTTTGTTTTCCAAATTTGGGTACTTTCAGCTTCCGTTTAACTTCCTAGTTCGTAACCTTTCAATACCTGTTATATAGATTTACACAATATTTGTATATTTCTGATAACAAAATTTGCAAATGTAGAACACAAAAAGAAATATACATATTTTTTCCGTTTGTGTTCGTTGCAATCGAATTAGAAGAGTAAAAACTGCATTAAATACAACTTCTTATAAATTCAATCCCAACACGCTCTTAAATGCTCTTTATATGCTCTTGTTGATACAGTATGTCCTGCGGCAGTATTATGCCTGAAAAATGTCTTTAATTATGAGGAAATCAAAAGTCTTGGAACACATACAAGTAAAATTAACTTAAATTTCAAACCGTTGGATTAGGTGCAAAAAGTATAACATTAATGTTTCATTTTATTCATGTGTAATAAAATCATGGGAAAGGTGGTGGCGAAGCAGATTCGCTCTCCCTTATACTAGTTCTCGAAAAATTAAGAAACTTTGTTGTTGTTAAGATTAACGCCATTTTCAGCACACGATAGGCTATTTATGGCGGCCAGTATTAATGATGGAGGAAGAAACCGGGAAATCACCGGAAAGAACCACCGATCCACGAGAAGCTACTGGCAAGCTTTCTCAGATATCCACATTCGCCGAATCACAGACTCGAAACCATGCAGACAGAGGTTTAGTCCCTGCTCAAGCTGTCAAGTATTAGCAACATCTTAGGAATAATCGTGTTTAAACTGTGCATTTTTTAAAAAGCCAAATTTTCATCGAGGAGTGGGTGGGGCAGAGCTTGTATGCGACTTTGTTAATAACTGCCTTGTGGAAGACAAACATTATTATTATTAAATAGAGACTGTGTATATGCTTGCAACTTATATTTTTCATTTATACAACCAAAATGAAATCTTACATTAATAACACCTGTGTTTGGTCTTTATGGTTCTGCTCTGCATTTATAATTTACTACTGAAACCAGGACTGTTATAAGAAAATCTGAGATATAAAAAGAAAGTCTTGGTGGTCGTTACACAGCAAATAGGTATGATGTAGTACTTACGGACACAACAACAGTATACCTACCCCCTCCTTGGAGTCACAAAGCTAACGTTCTGTCAAAGCTAACGTTCGTCATCCCCATTTCTCTATACCTCTAAAAGCTGACTAAAGTCAGGAAAATATTTCGACAAAAAGTGACTTGTTTGGATGGTCTATCCCACCATTTTATATACTGAAGTTCTGTATTGCAATAATTGTGAAAAAGTAGGCATCAGACTTCATAATATTATATAGAATGTTGCATTTTCTTCGTTTTTAATGACACAGGACAATGTAAAATGACGTTCAATGTCCCTGTTGACACGGTCATTAAGACGTTTTTTGTTTGCTTCCTCGACGTCATTTTGTTTATGTCACTATTATAAAAAAAGGAGCCGGTTAACATTTAATGACTTTCTTTAAAGAAGAAAGCAATAAAGGTCTATCATGTATGTTGATTAATTTATGTAATATAAAAATCTATATTTTAAGGGGTGGGCAAACTTTTAATTGCCAGCTAGAGCATGTCCAGACGTGAAATCATGTTCATTGACTAAGTAATTATGTGTGCGTGCGGTTGTGTGTTTGGATTTTTAAAGTAGCTTTTAAAAAATTCAGTCATATTGCTACAATGTCTGTTGTGTGGCAGTTTATAGTGATGTCAAGCACTGGGGCATTATGCCGCAGACATGCAACATCATGTCACATCCAGTCACATTATCCTGACACCATGCCGACCAGTCCTAACACTAACCTCTTAATGCTGAACGCTAGGAGAGGCAGCTGTTAGTACCATTTTGAGAAGTCTTTTGTATAAATTGGCCAGGGTTCGAACCCTCGACCTCCCACATCCAAGGCGAGCGCTCCAACCACTGGGCCACCAAAGCGGCCTGATTAATCAATTGAAATGCCAATTACGATTGTATCGATCTTTTGGGTTTAACTTCACACGTAAACTCGCGAAGCTTATCACATGGGACCTGGGGTAAACAACATACTGCATCATTCATACAATGTTAAAAACAAACAACACGTCTAACTTAAACAAACTATATGTACATGTAATATGTACTGTTGTGTCTATTTCGATCAGAATTTGCTCTGACCCTATCTGGGTTTTCCCCAAAACGTTTTCTGAAGTTGAGAGGCATATAAATAACTATTTATTTGTAGAGCAGACTCAACTCAAATAAATATCCAATATATAATTCACAAAACTCTCAAGTCACTTACTACCAATTTATTGTACCAATTAATTGCTTCGTTACTTAATGCATAGTAGCACACCGTTATGATATTTACTAAACCATTCTGAAGGCGCTACTATACACAATGGGAAATTCAGATAATTAAAATTTTGCCCAAAAAATGAAGATTAACGTTATTAAATGTATTATTAAGTAAAACTTATGTAATTGTAAATGATGGAAACTGGCAACTAATAGTGCAAAGCTAGTTTCAACAGACTATGCGCTTTCGACTCTCAGTCTTTATCAAAAACTTTTGCGAGATAAGGACAAGCAAGACCAATATAAAACAGAAGAGAAAGAGCCAAATTTACAAAATAGTTTTTCTTGGTGGTTAAATGCCATTTTAAGCTCACTATTGGCTATAAAAGGCGGCTTCTAGTACCCGTGTAAGAATAACCGACTGAATGAGGTGCTCTTCCAACCAACTGTGATACGAGCAGTTGCAGTGCATGTTCAAACAAAACAGAAGGAAACATGATTACATTTAAAAACAGAAAAATAATTAAAGTTAAATAGGATATAGATCGTAATTTTTAACCAAAAAAATGGGTTTTTTTGTGCATTGGCATGTGTGTAATGTGAAGCCTTTTACAAACGCCAGACGAAAATAAAATCAGAAGAACATGATAGTACATAGTAAACGAGAAAGCAAACTCTTAGATTACTAAAAGTTAATTAAAAAAAACCTACATAACTTTTCTGGAAGCAACTTAGAAGACTTTTCCTTTATATACATTATCGTGTGCTGAAAAATGGCGTTAAGCCCAACAACATCAACAACAACTGGTAAATAATATTTAAGAAAAGAAAGGGAATTCTGTTTCAAACCCGGACCGCAAAAACCAGATTTTGATTGTCTACATCTGCATGGACCATTTTATGCATTATATCAATACATTCATGCACTTTCATAATTAAAGGTTACTGTATTTGTATGGGAAAATATGAACGAGTTTTTCGGATGGATATACTGCACGACCTTGGTAGTGCAGTATATCCTTCCGACAAAGCGAGTTCATATTTTCCCATAAAAATACAGTAACCTTTTTATTATATGCTCATTTCTTATTCTTCTCCAAGCCTTAAATATATAAACAAAAATACACTACAAGAAACAAAGTAACTAAATGTATGCCGTATTCTGAACTAAATACATAAGCGTTGATGGATCATTACACAACATTATTAAAGAGCGCATAACTCCGCTCAGATAATTATGAAGTTGGTCGCGCGCTAGACGTAAGTTTTGAAAGAAAATGACGCTTGCTGTATTTAAAATTGAAAAAATTTGGAGTAATATTGTTAATGAATACCCATTGCAACAACATTTCCATTTGATGTGGAACGAATACGTTTTGGTATTTTTGTCGATTCAAGCGCAATCTTTTGATTAATGTATGGATATATCTACATGAAGTGACTTGCATCGGTTTCCAGCAGCGTCTGCCAATTTAATGTTTTGAAATGTGTTCAGATCGGCATACGTGTTTCTTTTCTGTCATTGAATGATTCAGATCACAATGTGGGAAAATTATGAAGCCTTTCCAATGCAATTATCGAAAAGATGCTGAGGAATTTAATGTTTATTTTATTTTGTATACAGTAAGGTGGATGTAACTACACTTGGTATATGCTCAAAATTACAGTACAATTTCAAAATGTGTAATTAACCTTGAGAACCCATAACATGGTTCATCTAATTCACATTTACAGACCTACAAAAGTATATTTTTTCAGGATGTAAATTGTAAGTATTTTTTTGGCCCGTTTTTATTTACAGCTAAAGAAGACAGTTTATGTGTATAACTTGCGTTTTATTCTGAGGAACCTCTATAGCGTCTAAATATAGTGAAATTTGAAACATTGTAACAAAACAGTAAACGCGGATTGTGTCAAAGCAGTTTGTATGTGTTAGTCTATGAAACATGTGCTGGTATGTGGCTGTCCATGAAATATCTGCTTTAGTTCATTCATAAAAAATTGTTTACGTTAGAAAATAGTTCCTTTGCACGTGGGATACAGTATGAAGGTGTTTAATTTCGGTGAATATTGCACGATTCTGACAATGTAAAGTTAACGGAGAAAAAAGTCCAGCATATAAAAACATACTTTATAGGGCCCGTATTGGGTGCATTTCTGTACAATTTGTTTTCTTTTATGCAGCCAAGGACCATGAAGTGTGTTTAATGATTTTATCAGTGTAACAAATTTAAAGAAGTTTTTATATCTCATAACAATGACGTAACTGACACGAGAATGACTTCAAATGCATGTGTTACGTATGTAACATATGTAAGTGTATATGGGTGTTCATTTTGAATATGGGTGCAAGTATATGTATGCATAATAGGCCTTTATTCATGCGTGAGTTTTTTTCTCATAATGCACACATTATATTGTGTTTTACATAATGCTTTTCTAATGCCCGCCCATATATATATATATATATATATATATATATATATATATATATATATATATATATATATATATATATATATGTGTGTGTGTGTGTGTGTGTGTGTGTGTGTGTGTGTGTGTGAACCCCTAAGAGTTAAATTAATTTAAAAATTACTTTTACACAGACATACACACGCACACACACAATAGGTGTACATTATAAGCATGACGTTGCGTGTTGCTTGCGATTTTAATACCAAATAAAGGTTATGTAGTCCGATGACCTTCAACTCCTGTATTGTTGATAAGAGCTAGCTATTGTTTCTTTAGTCCTTTTAAACTTCATTTAGACAAGAATTGAAGGCAAATTCGGTCAACTTGGAAAACAAAATATGTTCTCCGCAGCAATGAGATGTTTATTTGGGTCAAGTCAGCTTTACACAGAATATGTAGTTTGCCTCTTGACTTTTAAATATTATCCGGGGAAAACCCTTTTCCTAAGGGCCGAATAAAACAGGATATTTCGAGTCAATACTTGAACTAGACTAGACACAAGAATACACCTTGCGTATACATGTACTTTATTTACGTTGGGAAAAAAAATGGGTTGGGGGTAATGTTGTATAACGTCTATTACAGATGTGACAAATTTTGTTTAATTATGAAACAAAAATACTTGATTACCTCCGGGTCCCGCGGGATCCACTTCAAGCGTAATGGGCCGAAAAAAAGCCTAATTAACATTTTAATGCATTATTTAATGAACTTATTACATATTTAGTGCAATTTAAAGATAGCGACAGTTAGTATAAGACTACACTCACCATCTTATTACATTTCCTTCCTTGCTAGGCATTTCGGTCAGTTGCGATTTTAATTAATATAGATTTTATTTCACTGTAAATAATGGTCCATGCCAGTCACTGTAGTCTGTCTCTTTATCCCCTTTTGATAAGCACTTATCTCCAATTTTCTCGATATTATATACCCAAAAATGTGTTTAAAGCATTGCCCTTGAAACCAGCAAAAACAAAAAAAGGCAACCAAAAGTCACTGAAATTAGGCCTGATTACACTGGAGACCAGGCAGATGGATTTTATTATAACGCATGACCTTGCATAGGTGCATAAGGTAATGCCAATAGATATTTCGTCATTCAAGATATAGATAACCTTTGAACCTTGCAATTTTATTGTACTGGTTCCCCTAAGGTCTATTACGGCTTTATCGTTTATATCGATCTCCATAAGGCTGAGCTAGATTTATGGTGTGGTTGAGTGAAGACAATTTAGTATCTGTGTTATAGTATAGAAATACCAAGTAATTGTATGCGTTCCGAGGACACAAGTCTTTATACAACACGAAGGATGTCTAAATTAATTCCATTTGGGCGGGTGTGGTGGCTAGGATGTTTCCCCCAGGTTCAAATGTTAAAATGTGTTCAGCTTTACATGCTTTCACTGCTTAGCATCAAAAGTTAAATACATGTATGTATTCAATATTGACCCCTAGGTCATGACATGGCCTCATACCACAACTATTTTAGACCTCAATCCCTATTTTCTGCACTTATCATTCATTCAAGAAATTCTGCGTTTCAATCGTTTGTATGTATTACATATGTAGACACTAAAGTATAAGAAGTAACCAAAAAGCGTCTGAATGACTAAGACAAACAGGGACGTTTGACGTTTAATTTAAATTTACGTTTTACTGCTGCTATTAAACAAGAAAGAAATGCAAACGTTTGATACAGTTGCATAAAGTGTTCAACCTAACTTACCATAAGTATTTAAATAAGTAACTTTACCAAAGAAGTCAGTGGCAAACTGACTATCCAAACAAGGCACTATATTGTAGGAATATCTTCCTGAATCTGGTCAACCTCAAGTGCGGGGGTGGGATAATTTTTTTTTAGGCCACACGAGAGAGTATATTGTTGTTGAGCCCGTGAGTAGTGAATGATACCTAGGTCTTGGGCCACCCACCCACTAGATATAGTGTTGTAAACTCGAGACTACCCATATTCCTATCCTGCAATTTGAAAACATTATATGCCATTCTTTGCACATCTTTGAGAACTTTTTAGAAGCTCAACATTCTAGGGTCTCAGTCTCAAACCACCATGAAAGCCGCATGAAGACATTTCCGGTGGCCTAAGGGCCGTGCCACCTTGTAATATCTCCTGACACCTTGTGACGATAGTTATTTTGTGGGCCACAGAATTCGGCTGGGCG